CAGTCACTAAACGAATGACTGTAAGTCAAGGACCACCTGTAAAATGAAATATGAGACAAACTCATTTTTCAATAATTTTGAAGCCTTTGCGTTAATCCGTGTCTGCTTATACAGTAGAACCTCTGATTACGAACGCTTCTGACCACGACCAAATCGGGTTCCGACCAAAAAATTCACAATTTTTTTTAATCTGGTCATGAACACATACTCAGGTGGCGATCAAACACGGCCGCAGCCAATTTCCCCTTCCGCACCATTTTTTTGTAAGTGCCAAACAGCAGACCTCGTGTGGCCGCTGCATTAATTTTGCATTAATTTTGGTTAGGTTCAGGTCATGACCAAATCAGGTTGCGACTAAAGTTATGGAACGAATTATGGTCGTGACCAGAGGTTCTACTGTATATCAGTGAAAGGCTTTGTGAAAGAATATGGATAGGAAAGGAAAGTACTGTACCACTTTCTGTTTTATTCCATCCCCTCACTCACATATTGGAGACATTAGAGCTGTGAAATAGTAGCGGTCTCTACTTCAGAAAAGTTAAACTAACATATAGGTAGTCTTCAATTTATGATCATTCATTTAACAACCATTTGAAGTTACAACAGGACTGGAAAAAAATGATTTACAACTAGTCCTCACACTTATGACTGTCACAGCATCCTAGCGGTTACATAATCAAAATTTGGGCAATTGGCAATCCACACATATTTACAATGGTTGCAGCATCCTTGGGTCACATGATGGCCATTTGTGATCCTTGGGTCACATGATGGCCATTTGTGATCTTCCCAGGGGGCTTCCATCAAACAAAGCCAATGTGGGAAGACGGATTTGCTTAACAACAGTGGTTCACTTATCAACCATGGCAAAAAAGGTTGTAAAATCAGGCATGAGTCACTTAACAATGGCATCACTTAGCAATGGAAGTTCCAGTTCTAATTGTCATAAGTTGAGGACTACCTGGACCTAAAGTCTGTATTTATATGTTGAAAATCTGGCCACTTACATGTAAGTGCCATGCTAAGAAATCATCTTTTCTCCTGAAGTTGTCAAGTAAGTACCGTGGAGAAAGGAAGAATTTGGTAACCAGATGCTCCAGATCTGTCCGGTTAGGAAATGAATCTATCATTTAGAAGTCTGGGTACCCAGAAATCAAATAGAGTTCAGACACATAGAGCTTTGGGATCATCACTCACTATTCTGCAGAAGGGACTTTTTCTTGCCTTGTGTGCCCAATAGGTAGATAATACTGATCAATTTGGAAACAAATTCAGTAGACTTGCCCACTTCCACAGTTCTGTGGCTGTACTATCAAACTCCTTCTGGAGGTCAAATTCCCACAAAATGTCATTATCCAATGCTCAATGCAGTGTTGACCTACCAAATGAGAACTTTCAAAAGGCTTTATCTACCCCCTTTTTCTCCCACCAGGGCTCCTCTATCTATGGGCCACATATTGTTGTAGTCTGCCGGCGGCCTGCGGAGCTGGCAGCAGAGTTGGACAGTGAGGAGGCTGGGGAGGAAATAGGCCAGTCCTGGAGTCTGGGGAAGGCTCAGATGAGAGCTCTGCATCGGAGGTAGAGATGGGGTGAGGGCCATCTGGGAGTTATGTGCGGACTCCAGAGCCTCCAGAGTTGGACATCAGCGAGGCAGAAGAACAGGGGGAGCCTGTTCCCAGTGCGCGCATGCGCAGAGCTGCCAGAAGGCAAGTGTTGTGGTCCGCCAGCAGCCTGCGGAGCTGGCAGCAGAGTCGGACAGTGATGAGGCTGAGGAAGAACATCGGCCAGTCCTGGAGGCTGGGGAAGGCCCAGATGAGGGCTCTGCGTCAGAGGCAGAGATGGGGCCAGGGCCATCGGGGAGTGAGGTTCGGATTCTAGAGCCTCCAGAGTCTGATTGGGGTGAGGCAGAGAAACAGGAGGAGCCTGTTCCTAATGCATACATGAGAAGAGCTGCCAGAAGACAAGAGCAGCTCAAGCAAAGAGGACAACTTGGGAGTAAGGCCAAGAGATGATTGGTCCCTACCATAAGGCTTAAAACAGACCAGCAATGGCGTTTGGGCTTTGCCGGAAAACAATGTTGGTAGCTTTGTCTTCTTCTTAGTCTACGTCTTGTATTTATTTTTGTATTTGTGACTTCTGAACATTTGCCAAGAAAGGCCTTTGGCAGCTTGCCTAATTGGATCAAGGTTTGCGATAGGACTGAGGAATTTGTGTTGGGAGGAATTTGCTTTAATTTAGTTGAACGACACTGGGAATGAAGTAATTCTCAGCTGTTCGAATAAAGTTTGTTTGTTTTTTCACTGACTGATTTTCCTACTACTTACTTGGATCACAAGTACCTGGGTCACAACAGCAAGAACAGTTAAAATGAAAGGGACGACTCGGGAGTAAGGTTTGGAGATGATTGGCCCCTCCCATAAGACATAAAGGAGGAGCAAAGGGACATGAGTTCTTTGCAGGGAGCAACTGTTTTTCGTGCTGGCCAGTTTCAAGACTGTAGCTCTATGTTGACTCTGTGTTCCGTGTGGCTTTGCAAAATTAATTGCCAATTAGGTCTTGGCAGCCTGTTAAGGAAGATAAAGGTGAGTGTTTATCAGCCTTATCAGAAGAACTGTGGCAGACTTCTGTCGGACTCTTTACAAGTATTTGGGACTCCTCTGTGAATGAACAGATTGGAAATGAACAGGCTCTAAATGAGCAGAATTCACAGCCGTGGAAATAAAAAGAGGGTTTTTGGGACTCATTCATTGTGTGCTTTTATTCTATCAGGAAGCCTAGGTCAGAACACATATAGAGAATCCATAATTATTGACTCTATAACTGTTACCACCTTCCCAACTACTGGAATGGCTGCAGGAGGGGCATGTTTTTAATAGCTTGGATGTTAGGGATCTTACAATCTAATCTACATTAAAGACAAGCAACAAGACTTAACTGCATTTGATTCTTATTATGGGAAATGCAAATATATAGTACAGTAATTCTGTTTAGATTGGCATGCAGCCTGTTAGCCTTCTTAAGATTTTTGAATTACATTTTTATGAATTTGGGCAATTGTTGTATTGTGCATTTGGACAACTTGCTCATTTTATACCAAAGGTTTTGTCCTCTGTACTGAGAATATTTGGAGTGTTGCAGTTATGACTTGCTGTCCAGTTTCAACTCAAAAAATGTGCCTTTCATCTAAGGCATAGTTTGGACTATTTGGACCATTGCATTTTCTTGAAATAAATTGGATTAGGTCCAGCTAGTGTTGATTTTTTTTTTTAATTTGATTTATATGCCGCCCTTCTCCGGAGACTCAGGGCGGCTTACAATGTGCTAAGCAATAGCCTTCATCCTTTTGTATATTTATACAAAGTCAGCTTATTGCCCCCACAATCTGGGTCCTCAATTTACCTACCTTAGAAAGGATGGAAGGCTGAGTCAATCTTGAGCTTGGCGAGATTCGAACCTGCAGTAATTGCAGGCAGCTGGTCTTAATAACAGGGTGCTTTAGACCACTGTACTACCAAGGCTCTAGTTAGAGGAAGGCTCCTTCCTCTACCAAGGAATTTATTTTGTTTTCTTAGAACCCTGCAGTATCAGGGATGTAAAGTATATTTTAAGCTTTTCCTATTTTTGTAAATTCGTTCTTAATCTTGATTCAATTCGCTAAGAAAGTGTTTCACTTACATTTAGCATATTTCTTCTTGCACACTTGTTATGCCTTTACTGCTCTACCTCCTCTGCTTCTTTGCAGACCACAGTGCTGCTGCAGATATCCCAGGGTGTCCTATCTATGAGCAACAGATTTTGTCTAACTTCCTTTGTTGTATTGAGATTCTACCTGATCTCTCCCTCAATCACACTGAAAAACAGAGAGTATGAATGCATCTTTAAACAGTACCTTCTTTGTATGTACAGAAAGATAGTTGGCTCAATCTTTTAACTCTTGTTCAGTTTGCTTATAACAATAACTCAGTTCATACATCTACTTAGATGTCATTTGTTTAGCCATCTATAATTACCGCCTACTCCTGCTGGAAATACTTTCAGGCCTTCTCCCATTCCAGAGACCTCATTTTCTCCAAGTTATTTATGAAGGATCAATTGGACCATGCAAAGGCCTGTTAACTATCATCAACATCACCCCCTTCCATTGATGATGGAGATAAGTCTGGTCTGGTTTTGTACCAGATTTCTTCCCTTAGACTGTCTAAAGAGATGGGTGCCAATCCTGTTGGCAGCTTCTAGGCCTGGAATGCTTCTCCATACCCCATCTTGGTATATGAGGTGCATATTGGATTACAGTATTAGATCAATGAACCACAAAGCTGTCAGGAACAACTACCCCAGCCAGATGCATTTGAGGAGGTCATCCTGGAAAAGGCTACTTGTAGTACCCTGTTTTTGTGAAGTGGTGGGAGCTAAGATCAGAAAGTAGAGGCTCTCCATCATGGTGCCTATGCTATTGAACACCCTCTCTCATAAATTATAAGACTGGCCTCCTATTCAATGCCCTTCTGGAAGCTTTTAAAGACAGATTTCCTGGAGGGCCTTTGGCTACCTATTTTTTTATGATTAGGTTTTATAATGATTGTCTTGGATGTATTGGGCACTGTGTTTTTATTATTTTTTAATCATTGTGGAAGTTTTACTATAGCATGCCACATATATGTATATAGGCCTGATATATGATCATGTCTTTCCTCTCTGCAACAAAACAAGTTACCTACCCCATTCATGTCTGTGAAGCTTCGACTATAAGCAGGATCCTGAATACAAGGCTGAGTGTCGGGACTTACTGTGATACTTGATGTAAACTCCGACAAAAAGGGAATCTGGGCTTTTGTTTACCTTCTACTAAAGCTTTAAATGAATTATAGATCTGGTCTGCTTTATGCACTTTTAGTGAATTTCCACCAAAATATGTGTGGCTCTATTCAGCTACTACAGTATATAAAAAGAATATTCCTACCATTGAATCAAGCTTTCCCTACTTGTGGGTGTCTCCATAGGCAAAACGGGCTTGTTCTTTTGGACCTCAATCCTGATGAGTACCTGCGTCTGCAATGCACCGCTTCTAGGAGACGACAAACATGGGTGTGGAGAATGGAGCTGCCTCCTGCTCAAAAGTATGTAAGTAATAGCTTCTCACTGCATCAGTCTGCGGTTCCAAGGGCTTAGATAAGGGCATTGGAAATATTTGGAAAATGTGGTTCCAATAAAGCCGTTGCCATGTGGCATTCATTCCTGGAGACTAGGTGCTTATGTTAGGCTCTTTCTCTTATGTGCTATGGAAACAGCAGATGATCCCCTGCCAAAACTTCAAAGGAAGGAGCATGGAAAATAGCCGCACACACCCACTTACCTATTTTGCTAGTATGAAGGAGTGAACAAAGCATACTTATTTTCCTGAAGCATTTTTGCTGTTTCAGTCAAACTGGGGATAACTTTTAGTCAGCTGAAGATCATTTACACTCCTTTGGGCAGGCATTCTTCCTCAGTGTACGATGACACTTTGGCAAGTTGTCAGAGCTTGGAAACCTGCGAAATGGTGGTGGAAGTGGTGGCCAATGATGAAAGAATATGCATCTGTATACCCCTCAAAAGGTAATGCCTCCCCCACACCAACTTCAGGGTTTTTAAATTGCCAAAGGCTGGTGATAAAAGAACTTTCTTGCAGCTCTTTGTTTTTCATTTGTTTCTTAGAGCCTTAGTGTCTTCTGTTCTTCCTAATACAGTATTTTTTCCAATGCTCCCTGTTTTATATTGTATTTTTTCTGATGCTCCCTGTTTCAGGAATGCATTTTAACATTCAGTTTCTTCCCTCCTCCTCCTCATTTTGTTACTCACTTTTTTTACACTTGAGTTTAAAAATGTTAATTCATCATCATATGTACCCAAATGATGTGTGCATATAAAATTGCCATTACATTTTGTTGTAAAAAGTATATAGAAAGCCATAATGGTCTATTTTTAGTAGAAGACATTGCTGTTTTTGCACAGCTATATTAGTGAAAAAGTAAGGAGAGAATGGCTGATCCTATTGGCTATTCAGGGTGCAAAATGCATCTTATGGGCCTCAAATATCTCAGCTCTATCTCTTGCAACCCCAAGAACAGGTTCCCTAAAATGATCTCGGCTCCAAATTTTGGTCTATTTAGAGTGTGGTGACTTGATGGAGGTTAAGATGGCAAAATAAGTCTTTCAGAGGCTTAAGACATTAATTTCTTCCTTTTATCCCCCTCCCTGCCCCAAATCAAACTAACTTTGGATTCCGTCCCTGAGTACTTTAGTGAAGCCTTTGACATTCCATGCAAAGCCCAAGAACACCTCAAACTGACATACTGTACAGTACACCTCAAGCCAAATACAATCCAGAAAGGTGTGTTATTTTATCAGATGCTTCTTCATCTTCTCTTCCCACTTCTATCCACACATCTTTTCCTTCTGTATAGCTTTATCACTCCCAGTTCGGTTTCTGTTCCTGTTTTTAATCTGATTTAGAGAGGAGGTGGTGATCTAATTTGTATCAACCCCAATGCCCCGCAGGAGGCATGGTATATGTATGTGCAGATGTCTACATGTGTACTTGGGCATGGTCTAATCTGGAATGGAAAAAGTGTTAGGGGTGAAGACAAGGAAATAATGGGGCTTCTTTCTCTGTATATATAATCAGTTCCCAGATAGAATGGGCTTGAGTCTTGGGAGGGTTTGAACAAGATCTCCTTTGTATTCTCATCTCTGAAGCAACTATAGAGGAACAGCTTTCTATGCGAAAGTCAGAAAGTCTCATCTGAAGCAGAACTAAACTAGATAAAAGCACTGAGCAAGAGATAAATAGGATAATATCGGTAAGAAATGGTGATTCAAAACTTAACAGACTTAAGTTGCAATTTAGTGGCTGTGCCACTCCACTTTTGTAGCTCTTGATACTCGGTTGTTTTCTTCTGTCTATGATGGTCTGGGACTGTTAACTCATTAGCATCTTTGGATGATAAGGCTTATTTATCCATGAGTGAAACTTGAGAACCTATTACTTTTGGCTAGACTTTATAGAGAATACAGTAGGTATGGCAGGAACAAGAAGAATTTATTCATTTTCCATTGTTCAGCGATCAAGTTCTTACTCAGGCCTTTTGTGACTCACATTGCATAGACGTTTATAAAGAAATGATAAGGTGCATTGCGTGATCTGACAACTCCTTCCTTTAAAAACCTGCCAGTCATAAACTCATTCAGTTACTTTAGAAAAACACACTGTGTCAGCTTCAGTCTACACCCCAACACCCACTCCTGTACCCTCTAGCCTGCAAAACAGCAATAATATTGACCGGTTCCAGTGTATTATGATAACTCCTGAAAATATGAGTAAATTGGAAAAAAGCTGCAAGCACTTGAACACTTTCACTCAAGAAAGCCTTTCTCTTGTTCCTAAACAAACTCTAGGTTGTTTTTAAAAAAGCAAACAGAGAGGAAAGCAGTTGGGTTTAGTTCTTGGCATTTTTTTTTAAAAAAAATCTGACATACGATTGCCTGATTTGGATGTTTTATTCTAAACTTCAAAAGCATATACTGGGGAAGGAGGAGTCATTGACTCACCCATTCAAAACCCTTCCCTATGTTGTTTTTCACCCAGTTAACACTTATTGATAATTTTGGCATCCAGCTTGTGGAAGAATGAGCTAAAATGGTTGGAAGAATATGACCTGGAAAAGTGACAGTGAAGGGAAGTATTCACCACCCTTAATCATTTTTTTCCTGGCCCCCTTTTTTGCTCATATGGCTCCTTTGAAGCGAACTTAAAGTCATGAGCCCTGGGTTTGCCTTGTGATGCTTGGCTCATTTACTTATTTTCCTTTCTTGTTTCCTGAGTAAAAGGAAGAATCAGTAGGCATGCTGAACTCATAAGGCTCCAGTTCTAAACAATGGAGTGCTTTGTAGACCAGTCTTGCACTCTTTTCAAACAAAACCTCTCATTCACAAGACAATTCTGCCTAAAGAACTCTGGAAGAGCTAATATCCTTCATGGCTTTATCGGAGCCAGCATGCGCCTGTTGAAAGGAGAGCATTCTTTATGAGCAGAGTGCCATTCAGCCTGGAGGGATTCAACAGTCCTCTCCCCCCATGGAGCAGCAACATGTTTTCATAAAGCCGCCTTTTTCCAGTAAGACATCTTTGTTTTCTAGTTAATGTGGCGGCTGGCTGACTTCCGCAAGCCAAATGTATGGGCAACGTGGAGCAAGAAACTGAGGTGCACGTGAAAAGAAAAATGCCAAAATGATTTCTGGCAGCTGGCAGATAATGAGGAGCCTTTGGCCTCTGCTGAGTGGCTGGCTAACTCGTGTGGTCACTTCAGGATGGACAGACTGGGACGGAACAGGCAATGGCCTATTCCCATAGTTAGGTTGCTTAAAACTTGAGTTAATTTGAAGCTTAAAATTTAAAGTCCTCTCCTTCACTGAACATTAAATCAAATCTTTATCATGGTCATAGGCCAGCATATCAAAATATAATACTAATTAAATGGTGAACAACAGGCAATTGGTGGCCCTTTTATGACACTTGCAATGAGTAACCTCCTAATGGTGAGGCTGGCTGAACTGTTCCTCATATGTCCTCTCTAGGAAAGAGCAAGGTTAGAGAGACCTTGTCCGTCTTTCTTGCCTTGGAAGAGTGAATTCAAGGCCAGAACTTACATGAGTGAAGCCCATGGACATTCCTTCCCCTGTAGCCCCTATTGAAATGAAGTTGTGAAATGTGCCATTGCATGCTAGAAGCCAAGAGCAACTTTGTTATGAAATGTTTCACGCAGAACAATACTTCACTTACCTGAAAACAATATTTTGTTTCTCTGATAATTTATCTGTATAAAAGGAGAAGATTGTCTTTAGACGTACTGGCTACAGTAATAGAGGCTGGTGATGTTTTTTTCTGCCTTCTCTTCCTGGTTTTGGGGGCTGGAGTCTTAAATTCAGGATTGCCTTCTTTTGGGTTAGATTCTGATTTGAAGACGAGATGTTGACTGATGGTCCGAAATTGTAAGAAGCATGAAGGCACACTGGGAGTTCCCTTCAGCCTCCCTTGACCTTCTTGGGAATTCCATTGGGACTCCTGGCCTTCTGCCAATTTTATGGGATGGGCAGCCAGTGTCCAAGCCTCACCAGCTTCTGCAACTCAGATCTTGCTTTTCATTGACGCCTGCTCTGCATCACAGTAAAGTAATACAGAGCAGGCATTGCTAACTTAAGTACAAAATACTGAACTCCTAAATTCAAGCATTTCTTGTGTTTATTTAGCACAGGACAGACTGGCGCTGCCCAAGGGTAGGAAAGTTTCCAATTCTAAATGCGCCCTTTAAATCAGATTTGAATCTGTTCTACAGAGATAATTCTAGAAGCTACAAGACTGCCCTGCTATGTATCTCAGGGTAGCTAGCACAGTGACTCCTGTGAGCTGCTTGAGGAAATTTACTCAGGTTCTGAAAGGCTGCATGTGATTTTCATTGGCCATTTATGCCAGAATAATAGCCTCTGAATATCAGATGTTTATGAAAAGCTATTTTCTGAATTCTGAGTGTTTCATATATATAATTAAAAACCTGTTTGGGTTCAGTTGTGGGTTTTCTTTTTTAAATCCTGAAAATCTGGATTCTGTGACCGTCCTATATGATGCAGCCTGAGAACATTTATGTGATTCCTGTTTTACTACTCTGGCCCTTTGTAGCTATCCCTCTGGCTTTGGAGATTTCAGTAGGCATTGCCCACTCAATTGGAATATATCTTCAGCCATAGGAGGTACAAACTGGTTTCTCCTGTAGTTGCTATTATATAAAAACTGAGTTTCTTGATAAGATGGATTTTTGTCTATTGCTATATTCTTGCTCATTTTTCTTATTTCCACAAAGTCACAGAACTCGGGTTCCTACAAGACACAGCTCAATATTATTTCTCTCTCTCTCCCTCCCTCCCTCCCTCCCTCCCTCCCTCTCTTTCGCTCTCTTACATATATTGAACCAACAAAAGTGCAGTCTTCAAAATAAAAGCAATGTAGTTATACTAGTACACATGTCATAAACCTATTTACATTTGATTTCTAATATCCGATTGACCTCACATAGGCCAAACAGGGACAAC